AAGCCTGCTACAAGAAAAACTAATGCGAGTAAGTTAATGGTGGGCTGGTCCGATCTGCTTAGGGCTGGGCGATTTGGAAGTGGAGGTACAATTTGGGATCTGAAAGTCCGGCTGTGTTGACGAGAAGCAGACTTCGGAGAGACTTTACTCGGTGAAAAAGAAGAAGGACAAGAAGTAGAAGAAAAATACAAAGAAGTGAATAGTCGAGGGTACCAATTCTGTTTCATATGAAGTGTATGTGAGGGAGGCTAAGTGCTTTACAATGTACGGGGCAAGATGTCGCCACAACCGCCGTACAAAAGTTTTGACATGTATTGTCACGCTTAAGAGATGCGGTTGGCATGTAAAGTTGGCATCCTGAGTGATATTGGTGCTACTGCTGATAATTTCGTTTCATACTCATTATGAATACTTAGTATCTTCTTCTTCACATCTATTCTGGCTAGCAAACTCATAACTCGGACAACCCTTCATGCCTGAAATAAATGTTTGTTTTCATTTCGGCATCTCTTTTTTACTATTCACTTTCTGAAGTGGATAGTCCAGCTCTCGGTTGTTTTTCCTATATACAAAAATGGTGCTTTTGATTATGTTTCGTGCTCCCCATGGCTCGATTACATTGATTGAAATTCTTTATATCCTACAGGATCTATTATTACTCTTTCTAAAACAGAGCTATTGACATCCCGACTGCATTTCCGTATCAAAAAAGGCTCACTTTCCCAAGGGCACTCTTGCGAGTGTGGCGTAGGGTTTAACGAGTCAAGATTATGCGCTACACAACCACAAGACGAGTTCGGGTCTCGCTGGGGGTGCTGACGAGACCCAGGCGAGGACAAAATTTTAGCCCAGTTTTGATGATATTACCTTTTGGGAAGCAAGTATATGTGAAATCCAATGAAAACGTTAGGCCAACTCATATGATTGTAGGAAAATGCACTCCATAGTCCTTCATCACCTTAATACAGATAGGGTGAACGCTGATTTTATATGGAAAAGTATATCTCCAGGCCTCGGGACATACAAATGTCTCATTAACTCTGTGATATACTGGCACCAGTGGAACCAGATGTCACCATGATACTCACGACCTGGTTTCAAATCATGTTGGGGACGCTGATGAAACCGTGAGGCCAGGTTGAAATGCAGCCCAGATTACTTTGGATGAGGGAATTATTTCGGAGACAAAACAGGTGATATCAAATTGCATTAGGAGGTCTAATCTTATAATTGTGGGAAAATTCAACTATCAGTCCTTATGTCACTTTTGGCGACCTAGGCTGAACAGATTTGTATTCTAAAATTATCGAGAATCTCTAAAACGATCCATGTCCAACAAAGTAATCCTATATACGAAATCTGTATATCCTAGACTAACTATTTTTGTCTACCATGCTCAGATAGTTCATACAATTGGAATCTATACAATTTTACACAGGTTTTGTGTTCAGATGACGTCTTCCGGATGAACGTTCTGACCTGGAAGGATGATGCAAAAATTATCTGAAAAAGCGTAATGTCAGTTAAATCATATTCAAACTGCCACGATTGGTTGTGGTGGCCGAGGGATGACTGAGGCTGAGGCTTGTACCTACCGCTAAGCCAACCCAGGGCTCGGAAAGACGTAGATTTAGCTTTAATCTCGAGTAAAGGGGCTTGCTGAAGTGTCGTTTTGTACGTCAATACATACCTACACACACAAACACACACACACATATAAACACACACACACAAACTCATAGCCACTGGAATGCACATAAATATTGATAAATACATAAAGAAAATCACTAAATCTTTCTATCCCCACTGTTAGTTGAGTTATTTTATGAATTAATCTGGTAAAGAAGGACTAGCCGAGAGAAGGCTAGTTTTGTACTATGAATATGGTTTTGTAGAGGCCTCACTATCTAAAAGAACTAGGCTCGTGTATCCTGGACGTCATAGTGCTTGCTTCTGGACGCACATTTAAACGGCTGGTATCTCTCTTAGCATGGTTATGAGAGTTCGGAACTGCATAATATTATTGATGATTCTGGGTCAAAAATAGACTTCCATCCTACCAATAGACCACTTGCATCATGAGGCCTACGTATACAATTGTGGGAAAATTCAACCATCAGCCCTTAATTATTTCATGCAATTTAGGCAGAATAGAGTTATTATTCACCATATAGTGAAAGTGTCGAGACCTACTTAATATGAACATAAGTAGTATAGTACGCTGTGATGGTAAATATAAGTTTTGACATGGGAGAGGCATGGATTGCCTTGAAAATCACGTTTTTCCTGTGACCCTTTTGGCGCCCGTGGCAGTATGGCGCAAATACTTTTTGTATGATATATTTGTATACACTACTGCTACTATAATCTATCTAAAATATACGCTTTACTAACCAGATTTGATTCCCAGGCCAGGCTGAAAACGTAGTCCACTCTGTATTGGAGCACCTTTTGACAGGCACTTTTTAGGGAATTTCAGTGCTATTGTTAGTCCTACTCACATAATTTTGGGAAAACTCAAAGCTACCTAGCCTGAAAAAGTTGTTATTCACAAATTAATGTTAATCTCGAATACTTACACGAAACCCAACAAATTGATGCACTTGGTTTGATGTTCACATCCCTGGTTGATTAGTCTGCATTGGTGAGTCCCATCGCAAATGAGATACAGATTCTTCTCCACCCAACATTTGTCTGCAGAAGTACACAATTCGCTTACACGGCGAAGGTAAGTCTACTGTTTCCTGAAGATCTGCCTCACTTCGCTCCCCACACTCGGTCAGCTTATTAAAACCATGTCCGATTTCTCTTCATGAGCGTCCGCCTCTTTCTCTCCCTCTTCTCGCCGTCGGCTGCCCTTCCTCTTCTCACTCCTTCGACATGTCCTCCTCCCAACAAGCTTCCCCGCCCCCTGTCCTCACATCTCTTTTATTCCTATTCATCAACTTTTTTCACACTAACCAGAAGTCATTAAGCACCTCAACACTAAAACTACCTCTTTTCCAGTCTCCCCTCAGCCCAACTTGCGTTTTGCACGAATATCATAACCGGCACACGCCTAACCACAAGCCTAACGATACGAAAAGATGCTTTCATGTGTACACACTCTGGCAACAAACGGATGGGCAGTCTAGTGGTTGGACTAATGGTGTTAGGCGTCGGGGGCACCTGGTTTCTTTGGTTGCCAGAGGCCCCTCTTAATGGGTCATTGCAACTGGCCATAAAGTTGCGGCCGGACATACCAGATCCCGAGGATCCCCCTCTTTCTTCTTTCCCTGCCCCATTTTCCCGTTGCCTGGCTCTTGTCTTCCAGCTTCACCTGGCCCATCCGACCGGCTGACCAACCGTCCCTATGACTTATTGACGAAGTGAAGCAGCGCCAATTTGCCCACGACCTCGGTCTTCGGGACACGATGAGCCTTGCCCCAGCGACGCCCTAGAGATTGGCTCATTTCTCCGTACCAACTCTGTACCGCCCTGCTACCTCAACCTAATCGAGTCGTCTTCTCCTCATCCTCCCAAAAGCTGGTTAATCCCTTAACAGTCATCACACTGAATTCTTCCCTCTCTCCCTCTCCTTCTTCGTCTCCTGTAGACCGGCTTTCGCCAGTCCTCCGATCTCCTTCGGCCGATCGTCGACCGGCGGTACATCTGCCGGCCAGCACAGACCTCCTCCGATTTCGGTCTCGTTTTTAGACGCCGGTCCACTTTACTCAGTCCTTTCAGTCAAGGCAATTTGATTTACCACCGCATGGAGATGGTGAAATGTTAAAGCCCCGACGGAGAAGGGTGGACGCCGGACAGACGTTGGACGACTTTATGCACTCGAGGCAACAATGAAACGACGAGATTTTCACACAGCTTTCCTCTGACCACACGAATGGACATTCGGATTTGCTGAGCCCACAAACTGCACACACACACACACACACACACACAC